CATAACGCGACTTTAATGTTTTAAAAGAACTACAACACATTTAGTTAAAAAGTTACGTTAGTGTAAAATAAAAAATATATGTACCGTGTCAAAAAATATGTGTCTTGAAATCATCTGTTTTGAAGAGCAATCTAGCACGTTGTCTGCCAGCCCCTCAGAGAGTCATCTTTTGAATTGAAATTTTATAACCTTCTCCTCTTTTTCTGTTCTTATTCAGGGTCAAACTTCCTTTCTTTCTTAAGTGTATAGTGTTCGGGGTTGCTTGTATTTAACTGCACCTAGGATCATCCTAAACGGAGCCATAGCCTACCTACAGCAAATTTACTATCAGACCTTGACCCGCAAAGACAAAACCTGTATAGACCACGAGCTGGAGTTTCATAAATAATCAAATGTCTACCAAATTGTAATCTAGTGATACATATTACGCAATAGACGATACAATTTGAATAGTAGTAAAGTAGTAGTAGATGATAAATTTCGGCTTTGGACGATAGTTAGATAGATAATAGTTATCTATGCTAATATTATAAAGCTGAAGCGTTTGTTTGAATTGTCTCAGGAACAACTGGTTCGAAATATTTTGTGTTGGTTAGACCATTTATCGAACAAATCTTAAGGCTTTAATACACCACGTTGTGAAGACTAGAGAGACAAAGGAAAATGTGGAAAAAACGGGGGAAAATATTTATCTTTGAGTTTCCGTTGCGTGCACTGTAAAGATACCCAAAAATATACGCGAAAGAATGATTCCTTTTAAAATGATCATTTGCAAAAACAAATTTTGATAAAATAAGTCTTCTACGCGGACGAAGTCGCTAGTACAGCTGTTGTATATATTAAGTGATATCGATATTTCTATTAAATTCTTTTCCACGTTGTTTTCAATATTGTGGAGCCTTGGGAAAAACGATGCTTCACTTCCAAGTTCACGTTGAAAGTTTCCACGGCAAGTGGAATTACGCTAGAGCAATAACAAGTTGTTCTTACCGGGAATATTTGTTGGAGAGCCTTTTATAACAAAACCGCAGACATTTCTTGTAAAAACCGCTTCGTGTTGAACACCAAGCGGCTGTCAATACACGGATGCGATTATCAGATAAAAATATTCAAATCGGAACTAAGTCAATTCACTGGCAACACCACAGGAATAATTCGTTTGTAACACATTTTATGTAGCTATGCAAATATGCGGACACGGAGATCGTATTCGTTGAATCTCATTAATATTAATTGTTATATCTAGCATAACGTACTTATTTTGTAATTTTAATATTACGTTATCAATTATCATATAATAACTAGGTTGAATAGATTTATCTGTTTACTGTAGGCCGTAAAAGTAATCAAAATAGACGTCATTTATATGAAAAAATATTTCTTATACGTTAAGTTAATAATTATAATACATTTATATATAGGATTATAATTTTTAATTTATTAATCTATATGACTATTTATAAATCTAATTATTTTATATAATTAAATGAAATTTGTGCAGAAAAATAAAACCAAATCAGCACTTCGTTCAACGTGAAAAATGTTACTTTTATGTATGAATGTGTAATTTTTAAATACATTTAAAGTCAACTTGTTAGTCATTTGTATTTAAAATTAGAACAAATTTAATTACTATTATTTATAATATAAATACTGTTGTGTAAAAAACAATAGAAAACTAAGCTAAAAAATTTTCAACAGCAGGTTCGTAATGGAGACCAGTAAAAAGATTTTCAGATTTACAGATTATAATTTCCGCTAAGCAACAAACATCTTATGTGGGAGTTTCTGAGAAGCTTTGGGCCTGGGCTTTCCAACTATACCCACTAAAGCCGGTTGAATTACTGCGCCACTTATAACTACTTGCAAGGATAGAATGTCAAAGGTATAACTTATTTATAGACTTGATTTTCCCAGCCTAAAACACATCATTATATAAACAACGTTTGCACTGCAATGAGTAAATAGACACACAGCTTCGTCTAACGCTCTGCAATGCTTTACTTTGAGTATTGTGTGGAGTTTGCTTAAGTGGTACTTAAATTTTTAATATACTTTTGACGGTAAGAGTAAAACACTTCGCGACAGTGTTACAACTGTTGTTCATGAAACAAATTTATAAAATCGAGTTAAAGATTTTCAAAAGCATTTTAATTGATTTACTTTGTTGTTTCATAGAACAATTTTGTTTCCAGACAAGATTATCGGACAGATTTCTGTGCCCTGCCGAGGTTTTAAACTCAAGAGTTCGCTTTAATGTGCCACAGAGGCGACGTACATAATAACTGCATAATTTTTATTTTTATAATTGAATTGGTGCTACGAAAGGGTCAACATTTTATTGTTTTGTACTTGACATTTCCTTGCTTCCTTTACAATTCTATTTATAGCAAAGTTAAAGAGAAATGCGGTTTCGTTATTATTATTTTTTACAGTGTCCTCCACATAAATGCATTATATTATACGAAATTAAATTGTGAAGCTTACACGTGACGTTAAGAAATGGCTGCTTTGTATCTATGTAGGGTATATATGTAGGGTCATCCCTACAACAGCTTTTTCACATTCATTGTTTAATATTTAGCTTTTGTGATACCTAGACCTAACTTCCGTAACCGGCTAAAACCTTGAGACAGACCTAATCGATCATTTGAGGGGTCAGGTAAGGAATGTGAAATTAAACCGTTCGCAACCTCAACCAACTTAGTGAAAGGTAGAAACAAATAATCTAAATGTATGTGGGGTTGTAACAATTGCGACCTCTGTTTCTTGTTCTAGAGGTTGATCTTGTTTTATTTTATCCAATAATTAATCTATGCGAACGAATGTTTAAAAACTGTGGTATGCGTTAATAATAGCTACTTGTAAAATTGTTGAAGAAATAACCTTATTACCTATATTTAAATGAAACACTTTAACGGTTTAAAACGCGATATACTAGTTAAACTTATTTACAATTTATTTTTACTACTACCCGACTTTTCGAATGCTTTGCAGCAATCGCGGGACTGAAGATAGAGGTTGTCCCTAATGTCAAACTCAAATCACCTACGCTAGCGCCATCTGTTCGTCGTCGTTGGTATTTGAATATATTTCGTTAGCAATGTTTTATTTAATTGTGTACTACTTGCGTTAGCTACAGACAACACGTTCATTGCAATATTAATTACTATGTTTTTAGATCGTTTTGGAAAAATAATAGGTATGACATTAAGACAGACATGGAGTTTATAGTCGATGAAAACGTCTTTGGCTATTTTGGATTTGCTCTTCGAAACAAAAACAAAACACAAACGGAAACATATAGTTGTTTTCAACATGGTAGATGATGTTTTATATCTAAGACTAAGTTATTATTATGTATTACTAGCAACACTACAATGGAAAAGTTTGGTGGCTTATCAAAGAAACGGGATTCTTACTTACCGCCATAATTAATACAAAAACACAACAAACCGCGTAGTTAAATGGCAAGAAAGTCGTGCCTGTTTAGAGATTATACTATGAATGGTAACAGGATGATAGGGAGCCACGGATGTGTTGTAGGCTATTATTTTATTAGGACATGAGAGCACTTCAATGTAATGTTCGCAAATAAGATAATAGCAATAGATATGTAACTAATAGTATTTATAAATAATTACCAATTTAACGTACCCACGACTGTTGTAATGCATACGATAAGTAGGTTCATTGCTAAATGATATAATCTTAGTTTTAAACCGTTAAACGTGTAAGATTTAAGATTAATTGACAAACAATCAATTATTTGTACTCAATAAATGCTAAATAAGGTTTAAAGTTTGAAGCCGGCTTAACATTTCGCCGCGAGTGAAGAATGAATGACCGAATGAAGAACCAAAACGACACCACGGATTTTAACGTTTATTGCATCTCTTAATTCACAAATACTTATAAATAATTTTACAACCGATTCGACATTACCTTAGCCTTATCTCCTAGACTACATCCAAATATAAATATAAAATTCCATCAACGACAGCATCACTCTCATCCACTTGGCTATTACCAATCTAAATGTCATTTTTATAATTATTAACATTTAATTTAAAACAGTTTAACGGTTTAAAACGCGATATATTAGTTAAACTTATTTGAAAATGATTTTTAACTTCGGCCCGACGTTGACACCGTCTCCCCGTGACCACGGCTGCTGCAAAGCATCCGAAACGTCGGGCCGAAGGTAAAAATCATTTTCAAATAAGTTTAACTAATATGTCGCGTTTTAAACCGTTAAAGTGTTTTATTTAAATGTGTACTACTCGCGTAAACAACAAACAATATGTGACATTAGTAATTAACTAATCTAAAATAAAACAATAATACGAGGTAATTCTATAAGAATGTTTGTTAATGATAATTACTTATAGTATTTTTTTTTCATTCTTCAGGTGCTGTCTGTACCTACGCGTAAAAATACAAGTACCTCTGTCCCGAAATATACCCAAAGTACATTCTATTAACGAATATATTCTCCAATTGATACAATTGCTTCTGACACAATGATCTATGATGGAAACATGGGCATGTATTTCTTTTAGTTGAGATTAGAATTTTTCTTGGAACGACTTAGTATTTCAAGAATACTATAATAATTTGTGTTGTATTATCTATCTAATATTTTGTTTGAACGCGCTAATCTCAGAATGTAGATCGATTTGAGAAGACTTTTTGTGTTGGAAAAACCATTTCATGAGAAAGGCTTTACACTGTGTAAGATAACGCTGCGTACAATTAGAGCGAAGAAATAGTGGAAAATGTAATAAAAAAAAAGGTAAAATTACTCATGTTTGCGTCCTTCCGTTGCGTGTGCTGCAAATAACAGTTCCAGAAACCTAAAAAGAACTTTAATGATTAATGCGCACGAACCGTTTTTGTGGCAATCGAATTTGGTCGACAATTTATTACCAATTAGTTGCTAGATTAGCTATTTTAAAATAAAACCACCAGGCATTATAATAATAATGTATTTTATTAAATTACAGAGAGAACTTCTTAGTGGGCACCTCTGTGTGATAGAAGTTGCACTCGAGTTTGTTCGCGCAAGCCTTTCCAAAGCGGCAGGGTTTAGGATGATAATAGTGACAACCAGGGTTCACGCAGTTAGGGTAGAATTTGCACATACTCGGTATTGTAGCTATTGACTTGTAATTGGCGGCCGGAACTATTTGGGACGCTGGAAGAGAACTAATGTATTAATACATATACAACAAAGCATTTATTTATAATCCTCTTTCAAGATACCAAATCTGTGATAGTTCTCACAGATGCCTTTGGGCCTCCTAAGAAAGATGTAAGTGTATCTACTATTCCATATGTTTTTTCTCTCTCTGTAAGTATGTATCAGCAAATTTTTAAATAGTATTGCCTGGCGTTGCTTTAAGCACAAGAGGACTGGAATTCGATTCCCAGGCAAACTTTACATTGTTTTGATCGAGCAAGGCAACTTGGCGCAAATAAAATAGTTCAGTGAGACGGACACGAAAATTTTCTGGATTTTACAGAAATTCAACTTTAATTAAAAATTAAATACGCTTTAAACGGTTAAAATTGCTATCGTGTGTAAAAAATCGTAAATAAGTACAATAATAATAATTTCGCGTATTAAACTGTTAAATTTGTTATTTAAATATCTACTACTTCCGATAATAGAAATTGCGTTACAAAGAATGTACATACGTTAATCTGAAACTTCTATATACATTAATGTGTACAATAGTATATATTTTTAAGAAAATAAGCACAAGATGTTACCAACAACAGGTGGAGTCGGGTGTGAATAGACGCAACCTCGCCGAGTACAGCTGGTGGCAAACTTGCACCGCGGGTGACTGAACACGCAAGAAGAGCCGTACCGGCAAAGGGGGAACGAACGGCACCATACCGTTTTCCGGTCTTGTGTTGATGCTTGTGATACTGAAATAGTCAACGTCAAAAGGTAGTCTCTTAATTTACATTAACTACCTGTTATCAAGGGTGTAAAACGAAAGAAAAGAACGGGCAAAAAACTCGCCGCCACTCCTTTTATCGCCAAGTTTAATTTTACAGTCTTTTCGTACTTAATGTGCAGTACATATTTTTTTCTTGTTAGAGCGGTTCCAAACCCCAAGCATTCCATTTTTATCGTTTAAATATTGATCAACGTCATAACTCTTTCCAAGCAGTTTATGTTTTAAACTTATTTATTGAATGTCCTTGTATTAGGGTATATATGTACTAGGGATTTTGTTAAAATGTCGTTTGCAATTACCTCGAAAAAAAAAATTTTTTTTTTCTTCTTATTACTTGTATTGTACTAATGAAAACTGCCGTTCGTTTTAAAAGTGTCATTATTTTTTCTAACATAAAAAGCATTGACTTGCCAGCGTTAGCATATTCAACGCTTCAAACTTCTATAGAACACGCTCCCGTGGTGGAAGACGATAAATCGCTCAAACATATGAGTCATTTAAAATTTAACACAGCTATGATAAAAAAAATATTCTAAGTAATATTAAATCGGAAACCTAAATTAGGTGTAATCACGAAATTTCCAAAGACAAAATTGATCGACAGTGCATTTTGTTTAGATGTTATATGATGGGGTAGTTCACGCAAGCCGCCATTAGTTTTTGTCACTAAGTCGCCATGAGACAACCTTGTGTCCTTGTTCAATACAGAGGATTGTGGGAATGAGACAACGCTCTATTGACTGGTATTGTTGAAACGATAATACTGCATATATATCTAAATATAACATTTGTTTAAAAGTCTGGTAGGTGATTCACCTGACAGGGATGCCCAACTAACCGTTATTATTATAAAGCTAGACAAAACGGCTTTGAATATTGTTAAACCGATTGTGGTATGCTAAGAATAAGGTTGTATGCAATATATTATAGAGATTATAAGCCAATATATAATATACAAGACTTACGTGGAGGTACTGCATCGTATTTATTTGAATTCGTAACCGTGCTTAGTGTAACATGACTGTCACTACTCGCACTTAGGGTTCTCTCCCTTTCTCTTTCTTTCTTCTCAACATCAAAGACTATTGGAGAGGCCTTCCTCCTTTTTGGCGCTGGTATGTTTATCTCTTTCTTATTTGTAACCACATCACTTTTTCTTTTCTCCGCTTTCTCTTCTTCTCTTTTTATTATAACTTGTGTGTCGCTATCCTCGCTTGTATTACTTAATCTTTTCTTTTGACTTATTGTTGAACAAGGTGGTGATTCAGTTTTTGTATCTTTGTGATTGTTTTTAGCTTCGTGTTTCTTGTCTAAAGTTTCTGAAGATTTATTTGATTCTTTAACTTCTAAAATTATCTCTTTGACACTTTCATCTACAGGGTTCATTTCTATGTCTTCCTCTTTTTGACTTGTTTCAGTATTATTTTTGACACAAACTTCTTTTATTTGTTTGGTTTTAGCTTTTGCTTCAAGATTTGTAACTTCATCGTCGTCATCTAGAATTCCTTCAGTCATTAGTTTTTTCGCAAGGAATGCGTTTGGATGATAGCCGTCCATAGTGACGATGAATTGTGTGTCTTTATCTTTATCTACTGTTGGATTATGTATGTTTCTAAAAAACAAGTTACCGAATCACATATCAGTGTCTCAAAATATACATTAAATAAAACATGCAAGAAATGGCTAAAATAAACATTTACAAATCTTAATTTTAATCATTCATCGTTTAAGTTTTCATCATCTTCCAAAAGATTTGCGTATCTTGTTGAAATTAAATTAATTCAAAGGTTTATTGCTAAAGTGACAAGTTTGTGAAGTTGATATCTGCCTGATAAAAATAGGTTTTCAATTTGATTAAAAATGTATTTAATGAAAACTTACATGGTCTCAATAATGAGTGAATCATCTTTTCGACTAGCTGTGCGACTTGGTACATAATCTGTGTTTGTGATTTTTTTGGTGATTGGAAGTGGTAAATATTCCTCTTTTTGTCTGGTATTACTTACAAACCTCCTGAAATAAAAGAGACATGTATACATATATGTATAAATGTCAATAAAAGTACAGCATCACAATGTTAAAAAAATGTAATTGTTTATATATATTTGTAACACAAAAATTTTGTTTAACTTTTTACATGTTATTATTGTGGATAACGGTACAATATCCGCATGTGTCGTCGCATTGTTTTAATCTATGATTTTTAATTGATATAATGCCAAAATGTGAAAATAATTATTTTAAAATGTGAACGTTTCAAATTTCATCTTTAATGATGTCTTAAGCTAAAAGCGTGCCATTTTGTACCTCAATACATAAGGTATAAGGTTTAAATTACATTGCTCGGGCGATGTACGTATTGGATTGAAGAAATTCAGTAATGACTTGTAGTATCTCAATCGGTCAGAGCAAGCAGCACGAAACGCTGTGGATGCCGGGAAACGCCGGTTCAAGTCTCGCCCGTGTCATCGTTATTTTTTAATGTAATGAGATTTACTTACTGTGATATTTTGTTAGTTTCCACACGATCTAAGTCGGTCTCATCGTGGGTAGACTGAGTGTCAGCTGCCACTTGGATGACTATCTTTTTTGGATCGACACAGCGGCGCATAGGCAGAACCAAGGCCCGTTTTACTTTAGTAGGTTCAGGTTGAACTTTTGGTGGTATCTGAGAATATATTTTCAATACACAGGAAGAGGATACACTTCTATCAGGGTAATATGTAATTAAATGTTTTCACACTTTTTTGAGGATTACAACTCTTACAAATTATAGATACAACAGCCTATCATTTTTCGGGCTGTTTGGCCTAATTATTCCGGTTAAGATTAATTCTTCGAGCAATCGAGGAGCTAACATCTCCTGATGATGCCGTCCGCTCGTGAGGGGGAAACGTCGAGAACCTCTTCTCGCTCACGTTGGCCGAACAGCCCAAAAAACAATGATATGCTGGATTATGGCCGTGAAATCCTTGAACATTTTATTAGGTACAACAGTAATTAACCGAAAAAAACTTTTTCCTAAAAACAATTATGGGTCATATATAATCTACTTTATTTAGAAAATATTACTTCTATTAAGCTTACATTGAGCAAACTCTTGTGTGCATCTGCAACAGCGCGTAGTAATAAGTTGGAAGCAGTTGCGCATGCACGTGGCCTCGGACGCACCCGCACAACTGACGCGCATGTACGTTCAACACGATCTAGCGTTGATACTCTGGAAAATAATCACATAATATTACTACAAAAACAGTAACATAATAATAACACTAATAACAGGCCCAAGTAATTGAAGATTCTAAAATTATGTGATGTAATATCCCAAAATCTCTGGAAAGTTAATTAAATATCTTTTTAAGTTGAAAAACATTGACAAAACGGGCATCTACAACGCTTCGTGCCGTTGCTGTAACTAATGGGTTAGTTCAAGTTTATTTATTTATCACTTTAGTATACAAAAACAGAACATACATACAGGGTATTAAATTGTTTGTGAATCTTATGTTGCTTTTAATAAATAACATGGTAATATTATTATTGGAAGATCTTAGACTAAAAATAAATGTATTAAGTAAGGTAAGGTAAGGTAAGGTTGTGTTTGCTCAGGGCAAAATATATCTCTGGTATATAGTTTTGTAGTAGAAAAACTATGAATTAAACATTAGTATGTGTTTGTATAGATCGGTGGTATAAAATAGATCATAAGTATATGCACATTTTGACTAAGAAATACTCTTGCGTGTCTTACTTACTTGGATGTTAATTTTTTTGTAGTAACATCATTTCTTTCTAGGCTTTCGTTTGTAAGCGAAGGTGTCTTCTCAGCCTGGCTTCTAGGACGATTTTCAATGACCTTTAGTGGCTTTTCAATTTCCCTCTCTGGTGTGAAGCTTAAAATTAAATGTCTTTTATTATAATTATTAAATTACATTAACAAGATTAAAACTTTTTTTTCACATTTATAGATTTTTTTTTATTACGACACTGGCATGACCTGTATCGGCATCCGAATCTAAAATGATAAAAAAAAGCTTAAATTTTTTTTTTGCCATTTAATCCTTGCACTTACCAACCTTGATTTAGTTATTTTGTTAGTTGGAAACTACTGAAATATACTTTACAATCTCCCACCTTGTTGTGTACAAGGTCCAGCTTTAGAATATTTACAATATTTTTAGTTTCAATTCTTATTTTACATCAACAGCATTTAAAGACCTGTATGATTTATTAAATACTACTAAAATTATTTTTCTACTTTACTACCTTAAGTGAGTTTGTAATTAACAACCTTTCTGGACTTGATTTTTGTTTGTTTGTTTCCATTACATCTGGCCTCTTAAGGTCTCGAGCACCTAGTCTTTCTCTGATGGGACGTTTTGGGAGATTGAGTTCTATTTGAGGGAGAACTTCAATGGGTTTTCTAGGGGTTTCTTTCAAATTTTCTGTAGGAGTTTGGGGGGACTTTTCAATAGGTTGTGGAGCGATTGTAGGCAGGTTTTCTGGGGCTTTTAGGGTTTCCTTTGGAGGACCTTCGGATTCAAGGTTTTTCTGGCCCATGCTAATACTTTTTGTTCTTGGTTGGTTTACTTCCTGAAATAAAAGACAGGACTTATACTACAAATTATAAGAAAGAATGTGACATGCCCTGTATTTAAATTCCAATAAAACATAATTAAAAATCACATGACATAAATATCATATAAATAAATAATTAATACATTATTTTGCGAAGCAGGGAGAAAAACAATTCCATAAGTAATTTATTATTACAAACATTTAAAATATAACCTGAAAGACATCCTCTGCAAAGTCATTCATAAGTTCTTCGGCTTCAGTACGGATATTTAAAAAGTCTTCATCATCAGACATTGAATCAAGTTGTTCAACTAATTTTTGTTTTAGGCCTTGGATCTTTGCTTCTATTTCATTTATTTCTTTTAATTGGCTTTCTCTGGGAGCATCATTTTCATTTAGGTCAGAATTTTTTAAACTGGTATTGATAACTGGTAAATCGCTAAGAATAGTTGTTGGATCTATTATGGGTACAATTGGTCTCTTTTCTAAAATAGGTTTAGTATCAACCGCCTTGATATCATCCTTAAAGCTGTCAAGTGAAACTCCATGATTCTTAAGGATTTGACCAGCAAAAACATCAGTTATAGATGGCTCTGATTCCTTTTCCAAATTCATTAGTAAAGGTGGGACATTAGGCCGAATCCTTTCATGGCTTTTACTTTTTTTTTCTTTTTTACTTTTATGACTCTTTTTTTCTTCTTTGTTAAAATGCAACTTTTCTTTATCTTTCTTCTTTGATTTTCTTATGGTGTCACTTTTTTTAGATTTCTGTTTGTCTTTTTTATCTTTTGTTTTCCTTTCCTTTGAGATAGATCTTTCCTTCTTTCCCTCTTTATCATTTTCTGGAAAAGTACGGCATTAATAGAAATACCTGAATTATATATAATAATACAATGAAATACTACTAAACAAATTGATAGTTAAACATATTATGTACATACTTAGAGGTACAACTGTCACTTCCTGCAGTTTCTTTAATACTTGGTGCAGCCAGTTTACAAATAATTCAGTGTTGTCTCCAAGAAACAACTGAAGGTCATCTTCCATCTGTGTTTGGGTCCTTTTGTTTGCTACCATCACCATCACATAATCAGGAAGTTCATCATCTGTTGAACATTTCAATAGTAAATACTCAGTAGTAGAGAGAGAATTAAAATGAAACATAACTATGTAAATGGTTAATTTAAACATTCCACTATAAATTACAAGAACACACATCACAATAAAAAAAAAATCAACCAGATTGAAATACCTATTTTCAAATATTAATTTATACTATAACACATATTTCAATGTATTAAATAAAAGCAAGTAAATATATTTACTCACCAACATAACAGCCCAATTCTGTTAGTTTTGCCTTTATGGCTGACTGAAACAAATTATTAAGAAACAGTTATGTGAATGTATTAAAGTGCTAGTTTTATTTCAATAGACTACTAACTATCAATATAAAACTAGCTTAAAAACAATAAACTGGAATTATTTCTTTATATTTTGATACTTAAGGTAAGCTTTTAGTACTGTCTAGTCTGCTTCAGGTCTGATGTAGCCTGGGCATATCAAATATCTGGTAAAATTTATTGAATTGCAAGTAATTATTGTTGTTTATAATTTCAATATAATTTAGTTCGCAATATTATAAGAAGCCGTATTGAGGTACATTTTAAACTTTGGAACCATTATATGCCTATTACTTACTCGCATTTTTTGACCAATTTCACTGCCGACGACGTCCATTGTTGATGGTGCTGGTTTAACTATATGTACAAATCAGAAACAATTTATTTATCACATTTATAGAATTATACTTGCACTTATATTTCTTAAAATTATAACTTTTCTATAATATTGTATAATTTCGTTTATTTTCGGGTTTAAAATCGGTGCAACATTACATATTGTTACTGAATATATTGAATATTGATTAATGATTATTAACACAGTGTGTGACATCTGTCATTGTCAGTAAAAACTGTCAAGGAATGTTTTTTTATAGTCTGTTTCTATAAAATATCTCAACTGTAATTACCACAGTTCCAACTACTAAATTAAAAGGTAAGCAAATGACGCAAGAAACATTGAAATAAGGCAAAATAGATAGGACACGGTGGCTTGAGCTAGGTCTGCTAGAGTTTAGAACAAAAGCTCGGAACTCTGTGGATGCCGGTTCAAGTCCTGCAAAAATGTAATATTCTAACTAATAACTAAAGACAAAAAAAATATTGATTTCGGACAAACAAAAACGAGTTTTAATTTAGTTTAATAGAAACTTGATTCATATAAAGATTTAATAAATACATGTGTATTTTATTGCTCTGAGCTTAGGGCCAAGTGAAACAATAAATGTATACAGATATTCTCAAACCCTTTTAACAACTGACGTTGAACTATTGTTTTTTTTTTCCCTTGAATAGTTTGGTTTGTAAGTCAGTTCTTTGTTACATAATATTAAAAAAGCTATTTTGATTGTTATCAGGAACCGATTTACATATTTATTTTACAATGGTATTGTTCTTATTTTGTTGCGTACTCTATATTTAGGTATCTACTAATAAATAGGGACACCACATCATATTGTTTCTACAGTCTAGTAGAAGCCAGTTACCATTTCATTCTGGCTGCATCATGATCTAGAAGAAAGGTTTGAGATTTAAATGGAAGTCTTCACTAGGGATCATGCGATAAGCTATTTCGATCTATAGTAAGGGTGACTAATAAAAATAAAAACAAAATAATTCAATAATTTATTTTAATGTCATTTATAATGTCTTCATAATAGACCATTAGTCAAATTTGGAAATTATAATAATCATTTCATAAACTTTTCTTCTGAAGATTCAAGTCAATTCGCATCGTACAAACATAATATCATTTCGTTTTTAGCATCATGCATCTGTCACAAGTTTACATAAATAAAATTGCGTCGTTTTTTACAGGCTGTGTATTTAATAATAATTATTATCCTAAGAAAATTATTTAATTCAAAGCTTTAAAAATTTTGTTTCTAGGTTGGTGTGTGTCGTAACGTGGTAACTATAATTGTATTTAAAACAAAACACTTTCAAGCGCCAGTTGGTGCGAAGCGTCTGAAATGTGTAGTCTTTATTAAATGTAAAGTAACGATTTTTAACGATCAGAACTGTTTTGAATACTTAAAAAATATTGAAAATTAATCTAACAATACCAAGGAAACAATGTGTAATTTTTAAAATTGTATCTTTGGTCTACAGATATAATATCTAGGTCTAATAGAACTTATTTATATTTATAGGTACATACTAAGACATTTTTGGAATGTTCATAAATAATTCTGTGGTCATTACGTGTTTTATGGACTAAGTTATCATATTTAGCTACAAGTAATTTTATTTCTACATAGGAATGCGTGCCTTTTATTTATATTAAGCCTTATACAGTTAAAACAAAATATATATGTAGTTATAGAAGTACTTATATAACAATTTTATTTACATTCCTGTTTAGTTTCATAATCAGCTTGTCGTTCGCTATGGACGGACTGTCTTAAAATGACTTAAATACTGCGATAAAATAATTTTATATTAAATTACTCATTAATAATATCATTTGGCATACATTAAAATATAATCTTTGGTACGTCACAATATCGAGCGACAAGCTGTTACGATTTTCCGATTTGATCGATTTCGAATCTCGTAATTTTAAAATTTCTCGTCGACCCGCCGAGACCGATTTCCGATTTTGGCCCGATGACGGTTGTTATCGTGTACTCTCTAAGCCCTGTACCGGGCAGCGAGCCTGTGTGTCCCGGGCTTATCTGCCTGGTGCGGAAATGCCCCGAGGGTCCACTCTGGACTCTCCCAGTGACACTTGGCTGAGCACCGTTCGTGTGTTGCTGAAGCTGTACCCGTGACGCTCGTTCCATTTCTCTAAAGATAATGAGTTACTATTTATTGGCTCATCAGGTCAATATATCTACATAACAGGGGCTGGTTACCTGCTAGGGTAAGTTGCTTCAACTATTCATAAAGTAGAATATATCGCTGTTTTATTAAAAAAAGTAAGGGAACTTTTATAATGTTTTATAATTTTACAAACAATCTTCTACATACATTATATTTACGTAACAAGTAATATTACCAAGATAAGTTGAATGAGATTATGAAATGAGAGAAATATTCTTAACGTGGTTTCGTGTTGGAAGATAATAAAGTGGATGCAAAGATATTTTAGAAGAAGTTACTTTCCTGACAAATCCGTAATTCTTCAACTTCAAAATATGACGTTACACTCTGCGGTGACGCTTGTTTTGAAATGAAGTTTTTTTACGAAACAGTAGTATCTTATAATTCGGATTTTACACAAGCAAGTACCCAATTGTGCACGAAACAAGTTGTCTCTTAAACAAACTGATGTGAAGGTCCCAGATTAATGAGCACCATGCAATGATACCTTCAAGTTCGTATATAGGATGGAAGCGCAGAAATTCGTTCGGTTTTCCTGACTTGGTGGCATGCGGGCGAAGATGGATACGCACCGCTCGTGAGGCCGGTCAGCCTCGCTAGAGGGCAGCACAGTGCCGCCGCGTACGCAGCTCGGTATTGCGCGTTCATTATCACGTAGATGATGGGATTCACGCATGCGCTCGCGTACAACAGAAGGTAGCCGGTGATGTGGAACACTAAGCAGTTAATCATATTATTGATATACATAAATACTGTCTGTACATGTAAAAATAATTTCCAGATAAGTTTAACTAATATTTATCGCGTTTTAAACCGTTCAGTGTTTTATGATGATACTCATTACGTACTCTGGATCGGGAGCATTTATTTATTGTTTTTGTAGAGTTTGGAAATATATTTCTTTTTACCTAATCCTTATAAATTAATTACGCTTGCTCGGGATTTGAATCCGAGTCATTCATGTTAAGCGCATCACCCTGATATCAATAAGTTGTCGAGATCCACGAATATAGGATAATAATTATTTCTGTTGAGGTGAGCTTGGCAATTATCTAAATATTTTACTAGTTTTATTTAAGCATAACACTATGGTAACAAATGGATCAAATATATATATCAAAAAAAGTCTTGGATAGCAAAGACACTGCGAACTATGAAGAGAGTGTTATTATTTTTAATTTTAACATTATAAAATCTTACCAGGATAATGTACATGACTATCAGCCACCTTTGCAATAGTAATTGGTAGATAGCAGACTAGAAAAGACAGGAAAATGGCGAGGACCATTTTCGTGATCCTCCATTCATTTCGCCTGGCTTTAGTTTCGCGCGTGTCTTTGATTGTAGATCGCTTTACATCGCTGCCATTGTTTAGTGTACCTTGACTGGTCTGTGATCTGTGGTGTTCGCGCATGCGCTGTTCGGAACTGAAATTTAAAAAGTACAGATCGTTTATCGATGCTATATCGAAACGATTACGAAAAGTTTTGTTATAATTATTGTAGTATTGTATTGCTCTTTAGTTGGTGGTAAAAAAAAACGAGAAAATCTAAGATTATCTAAACTAAAACATGGCATATCCCAGTTAATTGGTGGTAAATTTCCTTAGTACATTTCTTTTCATCTCTTTATTTATTGAAGGTTTTAGCTAAAGCTTTCATAATATTATTTTTAGCTTTTCTTCGCTGCTGGATTTCTATTATTTGAATATCTTTACGCTTAATTAAACCATTATTCGTAGTTCTAACGTGACAAAAGAGTTCAAAATGATCCCCATAGATAAAATAGCTAAGCGATTTTACGATGTCGTAAAATGAAATAAAGCATGAAAACCTCAACGGCTATTTATTTTTGCTCCATAAAGATAAGGCGGGGAGAGGGGGGGGGGGAGGTCTGATACTAATAAAATTACTGGTTTATTTATATAGGAAATTAGAAGAAAAAATCATGACTTTCTTTAATCAAAGGAATATAGTGGCGTAGTTAGGAAGAGATTTGAGTCAACAAGACCCCATTTCATAGACTAAATACTATTCTAAAAAAAACCCTTTAAAATATCTTAGCAGGTTAAAGCCTAGATTAATTTCTTATTAATATCAAAGAAATCTATACAAGGGCAAAATAATTGATCTTTTTTTCTGATCGTTAACTGAACTTTGCGTTGGTCTTCTGACTATAACAATTACCTGTGAACCACCCAGAATATTCGTGCATAGCAAATCAATATGAGCAAAGCCGGAACAATGAACGCGATGACGAAAAGGGCAGTCTTCGCCGATCGGCCGTTGTCATCGGGGACGATGGAACAGGTCCCCAATTCTGCGTCGTAGTCGAATTTACCTGAAATGAATATTTACATTTGTATTCTGAAAACGACTATCGTACTTGAAAGGACGCGGTAAAGCATCATTAATCTCTGTCGCAACGATGGAAAACTGACGGGGTCATTGGTCTAATGGTGTCAATGTAGGCTACTATGTTTCCATGTGTTGTTGGGCTTCGCCTGGAAATCAGGATAAAAAAACGGTAAGGAATATCGAATCACGTCCGGGTCACGAACTCAAATGAAAAAGCCGTTAAGTATAATCGTGTTTCTGTGTATCCGTTCAATTCCGAATATCCAATGCACAAAACAGGATGCCAGTGCACATTGTTTAGATATTATATGGATGGGGAATTTTATATTCCATCAAGTGAAACTCGTGCTTGTCTGTCCTACTATATAGTAAAATAAAATAAAATCTATCCTAGATAGAATAACTTAGAGCAAGTGTTGAGTAAATTATAAACGAATTACTTGTTATAATGTTTTCTTTTATGAATGCTGTTAGATTCTAACCGGCTGGGTACGATTGGGTCTCTATTCTATTGTTAGAAGGGACGTTACTTTTTTATTTGCTACTTACTTATTATGTTTGTTTTTATTCGCTAAAATAAAAAATAAAAACTTTTATTCCACTACCCTTAATCTGCTCAATTATTATTTCTATACAAATGACACGTCTTGACGCAAGGGTAGGAATTGAATTTAGGTCTGAATTAGTCTCAGATATATGGATATTGCTTCCGAATTAACGAATGAATAGCTTCTAGGAACATTTCTAGATAATCAAATTGATGTTTGGCTTTTAGTGTTCAGTGATATGTATATAAGCGAACTATTTTCTAATTGGTCATTAAAACAAGCAGTGACCAACAAGAGCTCGTTATGTAACCACGTGTTCCGACCGAGCATGATCTGGGAATCTTAGAATCCCTACATCTTTCAGGCAATGGGGATGTGGAGTGTATATAAGTAATGTATATACATTGTATGGTATACAAAATAATTTTCCACCATGTTTTACCATGATTGTTAAAATGCCTAATGTAATATGATTTTATTTTTTTACACTTAAAATCAATTTAGATTTAAATTATTGTATTTTAATTATAAAACATAGTTTATCTGAAAAAGTATCATTACTTTTAAAGGACAACAGTCCAGCGAGGGTCTCACTAAAAGGTGAAATACTCCAACCATAAACAATTTAATTAAGTTATGCTGTGGATGGCAAAAATGGGTTGCTTAGCAACGAGCTGTGTATTTATTTTACAAATAAAATACATTATAGTAAACTGACAAACTTAAATAGTATCTGTAGTTTACGCGAGTAGTATACATGTAAAGAAAACACTTTAACGGCTTAAAACGTGATAGTTGGTATTTGGTGTTTAGTTCGACGAAACAGATGGCGCCAGCGTAGCGTAGTTTTTTACTTTGACGTCGGAGACACCCTCCATCTTTAGTCTCCCCGTGACCACCGCTGCGGCAAAGTATCCGAAATTAATAAGTTTAACTAATATATATCGCGTTTTAAACCGCTAAAGTGTATGTATAATGTTTATTTAAATGACAAACTTATTCGTCGAAACTGGCATATTTTAACAACTTTTGCACGGTCTTGGATGGATTCCTTCAGCTAAGTGAGCCCTTAGGTTTGCGAAGAGTTTTCTCAAAGTAATAAGACTTCAATGATGAGAGTATGTAATTGCAAAATAAGGGTCAATTAACAGTTTAAATACCTCTGTAACATTAAGCGTCACATGAGAATCGAAATAAATTGCAAACTGCTGAAATGTAAATAAGTCCTAAGGGACTTTGGGGGTTAAATGTAATTAGGAAAGCTTGATAGGCCGTTTCAGCTTAATAGTCGTCGGCTATCTGTCTACAAAGTTCACTCTAGATATCCCCATAACTGCGAGAGAACCTTACAAGTAACAATTAACAACGATGGAACAACACATTGATCTTATGGGACTCCAAAAGTTCCTAATGGCTAATTTCTGTTTGAGATTTGTCGATTGCAATTATCTTGTTCCGTGTTGGTTGGTTATTTATCCCGCTTCTTGAGGTCGATTCCCACGTGTCCACCGAATCTATAGTGTGTTACCGATTAAGGAAGGCATTCCGAGACAATATCTATGAAGTGAGCTATCTATTAATATATATTTGACCAGTAGTTAGATGCCTACTGTCATTTTTTAAAGAGCTGATGTTTAACAGTTTTTATCTCTTATTTACGTAGTAACGGTGTTATATGAGAATTATTTTTAATTGCTGTCTCTACAATTACGTACATTTACTATCAGATCCAAGCTACAACGATTATTTGTATTCCAAATGAAGTTGTAAGCATTTTAATTATATAAGAACTTACCCCAAACTCCAATAAGGGTAGGTATTTGCATTCCGTAAGAAAACATCCACGAAAATACTATCATGAGAGCGATGTTGTGTTTTCTATAGACTCGTGAATACCAGCTGTGGTGTGCTATCATTATATACCTGAAAATATAATTTATTAAATATAATATAATAAATAGATTACATTACTTTATATCTTCTTATAATCATCCTGCAATAGTTTGGTAATGATGTGAATGGATATTTCACCCTCCTATTTAGGCCAATAATTGCAATATTAACTAATTTATTACTTAATAATGTTTCCCGCTTAACTGTTATTTAAAATATCAAATGGCTGAGCGCTGTCTAACAGGCGAACAGTAGGGTTTTGCTGAAAAACCAGTGGTGTTGCATACCCGTGCTGCAACTTTTGCTGACGCAAGATCATTTTGCCATCGCTTTTATTCAAATTAAATGTAATGTTTTCGTATTAATTGTAATTATATTAATTTCCACTGCTACTAATAATAAATGTACTAAATGAATGTCAAATAAATATATTTATAATAATATTATTATCATATGATATTTCTTACTCATTCACTTTAAACCACCTTGATCGAATTCAGTAATCGTCTATATAGTTGACATCTTGGTAAACAGTAAACACACAGGCTGGACTATGTCGAATAAAATTTTCGATCTTCTTCTATCCCACTTCTAATTTATTATGAATATATCATCAAATGATAGTTTAACTTTATCCTGGGAAACAATACCTTTGCTATTATCCTATTTTATGAAGGTTTTGATACATCCTCATGTGAACATCGATACGAGAATGTATGAATTAATAACAACTAAAGAATGTAACGGTATGTACCTAAAAAATAATTACTATGGAATCGAAAACGTTGGTAGTTGTTTCAAGAGAATTATTTATGCGACCACGCCACTCAGCTGTCCGTCTCTGAGGATTTTATGCGAAAAGTTTGTTCTATTCTAACGAATGCCACCTGAACCTAATTTGTCTAACGAAACGGCTAGTTTTCAACGTTCAACTGTTTATTTATTCAAACATTCGCTTTAATTTTGTCTATTACTTTTTATAGATAAATACATTATGGACTTGACGATAAGTAGACTGTAAGGAGAAGAGATTTTGCTATATGTGCAACTTCTGTATTTATTCTTAAGAGGTACTGACCAACAAATCAATATAACTGAATAAAAAAATATGACTGTCGTGAAATATGTATATTAGTTAATTTATTTTAAATTAAATTTAACTAAGGTCCGACGTGTCAGACGCATTGCAGAAACACGAGCTATATTTGTTTCACGCTTTAAACCGTTAAATTTTTTTTATTTAAATGAGTAAAGTACAGACAATATTTGAATAAATACATTTTAAATAAGCAAATAAAATTTCCCTTTAAACAAATTCGTCAAGAAAAATGTAGTATAAACTTACATATAAAATAAATAAATACACATATAACAGTCAGACGATTTTTATATTTGAGAATTTTCTTCAACGCTACGTCGTCGCCTACTTTTTATAGTCATGTAGACGGAGCATAGTTGGCAAAATTCTTTGAGTTTCCAACTTTACATGTCACAGAAATGCCCGCCGTGCAAAATGAAATTTTTGTGTGCAAGGATAGAAATAACGAGGTTTTTTACATGCACTACGAATAAACAGCTACATTTTTAAAACTAAGCAAGAATTTTGGTAAAGCAAATAAATTCTTGACGGTGACATTAGATTCTCATGATTGACATATAATTGCACTGGAGTTGTGATACCATATCTAAATTTATATAGTACTGTTGCATAGGTCGTGGCTTTGAGTCCCACCTGTGTCATAACCCTAAAATACCATTGACAAAGCAGGTTTGCACGCGTCTATTTGAACTCCGCGTATTCAATTAAATATTTACTTATAAAAATAGCAAAATAAAGAGTAATATTTATTTATCCCGCTTCTAGCGATGTTGAAATAGGACTCAAAGAAAAAAAAACGGTAAATATTATATTAATTATAGTTCTATATACAAAGTTCACAGTTTATCTGTAGTGTATTTAGCAACAGTATTGCAGCCGAGCGAAGCCGGGGTGAGTCGCTAGTAAACAAAATGTTTCATATTGCATTACATATTAATATGATATTCTTTTTTAAGTTGAGTTAATCTGTATGGAGTGATTATATTTATATATAAAGACAGAAGATGCAGTGTATTAAAAGAACGGTTTTATTGAACACACGAAAACTGTCTAGGGACACAGTTCTGAAAAAGCGAGCAACTATAAAAGATACACTGTCTAAGTTCACGCTCCCCGTTCAAAGTTGCAACAAACTTCATATTCACATAAAAATGTCTGCCGAAAGCAATTGAATTTCCAATGATATGCATCAAACGTATTGCTATCTGAATCACACCTGGCAGGTGTTTGAAACATTTTTCCACGGTATCGTTGCGACACCGAATATTTTCGTCAGCTGTGTGCGACGACTAAATTGGTTTCAGGACTTAGATTATCCCGTTCATATTTTACAGGTGCAATTCAATTATGACACGAATTGAAAAATATATTGGAGATATGCTTATCTGGATTTTTCGTGGACGTGAATTAGCCGGGCGATTGTCTGTTGGAATTTTGTCAATCTAGTTTTAAATTAGTGATCAGTAAAAACTCTTTCCAATCTACAAAGAATTTAAAATTTGTACTTTCTATAACTTCTTAGTTTCAAATAAGAAAAAGCATATGAAAAAGACCACCCATGTAGTTATATTATAAAACCACAAGTTTTAACATTATTTTAATAAATGTATTATATTAATACTGTCTGTAGTTTATGCGAGTAGTTCACATTAACTTATTTAAAAATTATTTTAACTACCCGACGTTTTAGATGCTTTGCAGCAGCCTTGGTCGCGGGGAGGTACCTTATTGATATATTATAATTTATTCGTCTTGTATTAGTCTGTAAATATGGATGTGAAATGGGTGGTAAGAATATAGGAAATTTTGTCCGGGTCACAAACCAACGTCCACAGGTGAGAATTTAATATTGTTTACATATTAATATGTATAAAAAAAACAAATATATCGAATATTTTTTCCAACAAACCTTAGTTATGATGTAATATATCAATAGCGGCATGATCGCCTATTACTTAGTAATCTTGACCTACAAGTCCAGACAACATTATTCACCTTGCCGCAGCCTTATTAAGGAAGGCTGTATTCATGATGTTACATTGCTATGTGACGATGTGTGTGACCTAAGGTGGGAAACGATCTGCGTTGTTTACAAGTTAAATTTCCTATATCTACTACATAGTACATATATATACAAGTATTTTTTTAAATATATATTATGTCTGTCTATACTAATAAAGCTCGGGAACTACTGGTTCAAATGGAAGTTCTTTTTGTGTTAGAACATTTATTGAGAAAGGCTATAAAACATCGCTCTGTGAGTAATAGGAGCGAAAAAACAGTGGGAAATGTGGAGGAATCGGAGGAAAATATTCATCTTTGAAGGTATTGATTTTGTGCGCTGCGAAAACAGTTCGAGATACCAAAAAAAATATGTATCAAAGAATAATTCCTCTTTAAGTTCTCTCAATTTATATGGCAGTATATGTTGCTAATAGCTATAATTTATAAAGATGGGGAGGAGGTTTGCGAAAACAAATTTGGACGCTATAGTAACTATTCTACGCGGACGAAGTGGCCGGCACAGCTAGTATTTTATATATGTTACAATGAACGTGATCAACTAGGCATTATTGAAAAGGAGCGACCATTACTATCATTACATTTTTATCTGTTATAGTTTCTAGCTACTATTTTCAATAGTATTTTTTTTTCTAACTTTTACAAGTTCGATTTCATTAAATAAACAAAAACCCTGGATCCCAATAAACAGCATACCGGCAATCGCGAATACACCGTTAGTAAATTCTGCAAGGACCCGGCCAGTTTCGCCAAATACCAACTTCGACGGAACAGATGGCGCTAGCGTAGCAATTTTTTACTTTGACGTAAGAGACATCCTCCATCTTTTGTCTCCCCGTGACCACGGCTGCTGCAAAGCATCCGAAACGTCGGGCCGAAGTTAAAAATCATTTTCAAATAAGTTTAACTAATATATCGCGTTTTAAACCGTTAAAGTGTTTTACTTAAATTTAAAAACACCAGAGTTCACCTATTTTAGTATTTTGCATTAAATAAGGCATTATTCACAATGGCCGGAGAAAGTGATCAAGCATGGTGTTTTAATCACAGTGTCCAATTGTATTTGGCGTTATGAAACCACACCGGCCATAATTGATAGTTCCCCGAATAATCAATTTACCCGTAACATATACATATGCAATCGGTATTATTGTTGCGATTCCATGTTTCTCGTTATGTTTTTAGAAGGTTGTCTTTGTCAAGTTGTTGAAACAAGCAAAGGATAAACATTTACTAAGTGACGCATCATATATCGTTATTGCAAAACATAACTTGTCAAAGCATTGGATCTACTTCTTGTTCCAACTTAATACATATATATCCACTGGTTTTATAAGACGTTTGAGAGGTTCAAACCGCGCTGCCCCAAAGGCGCTTATACGGCCCACTTTTATTTTGTGACAAGTGGGTTGTCAGTCTTCTATATCCTTGAAACAAAGTTTGTTTATTCTAGAATTTGAACTTAGGATATCTAATAAGGCTATGCAATAAGTTTTATTACAGATCTACACAGGATTATTTATTACATGATTTTGCCTGCTCATATTTTTTTTATTTCCTTCCCTATATGTTATATCTAATTTTCTTTATAGCAATCTACATTAATTTAATCAAGTTAAGTTAAATTGTTTATTAGTTTAAGCTCTTATATTGTATTTAATTGGTAAAGTTTTTTGAAATAAATAAATAAATTAAAAGCCTGTAGGAACATTATAAGTACACTAATTCGTAACGCTTACCTGTTCAAAGTAATAAGAGCTATGCTCAATAGAGAGACACCGACGTTCCCGTAGCGAAGAAAAGGCACCAATTTACACAAAACTCCGCCGTGTGACCAGGTCCGTGTCCAGAAACCAGAAATAGCAAAGGGCAGCACCATAGCACAGAAGAGAAAATCAGCAATGCATAGACTGAAAAGAATTAAGACTAGTATAAAATTGGTTAATGTGTCTGTCGTTTACGCTGATACCAACACATTCAATAAACAGTTTTGGTAATAAGGCGAATTACAACATAATTACAAATGTTATTTCATGCTAATATGATAACTTAAACATGGAGCTTTTTTAAAACTCGGTAGTTCAATTGGTTGGAGCAACAGCACGGAACGATGCAGATGCCGGTTCAAGTCCTTGTCGAGTTTATAATCGATTTTAAATTCAAATGGGGCTTTAATAAAGACATTAATACAACTTAAATCTTTAAATTACCGTATAGCAGTTGAGATATGTATTGATGTAAGATCAAATACCCTAGCCATATAACATCTAAACAGATGCACTGTCCACTTATTTTCGCTTTGGATATTCGGAAATCCACAGACTAGTTCGTATTTCGGACGGATTTTAGATTTTCCTATCCCACCATTAAATAATATTATATTTCTGCGCTACCTCTATCTTCTCTGTGAGGGAATGTTTCATTATTTACATCAATAATGATTAGTCTCTTACTAATTTCTACTATTATTGACTAATTGGCCTCCCTTATATAAACACTAGCTTTTTATAAAAAATTGTAGCCCGAGATTTTGCAATTCGTTGCTCATCAAATTGCGTTCACAGAAACGTCGGGGTTGTAAACCTTTTGAACTCGCGTTTAATGTCACTGAATTAGGTTAACTCGTTTATAAATAAGGTTTTACGGCACATTGTCACTTTTACGGTACTAACGTGCAAGTATATAATAAACAACGTACAAAACACGCCCCTCTAAACTGTTTAATTACGCTCCGTCATGTTTGACCCATTTACGGAAGTGAAGTCTTCATAAAGTACCCTGTCATCGGTCGTTATGGCATCTTTACTATTTCATGGGATGACGCAGCTGAGCGCAAAATATGTCGGGCGAACCGAATATTTCGGGTCTATTTACTGATGACCTGGTGAACTAATAGCGTTTTTATTCCCTACAAAACAAGTCTATTATGAAAAACATCATGTGAAATTATTGATAGGCTTATATCGGATCAATAATCATCGGGTTGTAACTTCGGTTGTACTACCGGGTCTAACGTATTTCTAATCAATTTATAATTTTCATGACACATGACAGACTTCGTCTGGAACTTGGATATAAGATGGGTGGTAAAAATATCCATCATCATGGTCTCAACTTCCACAAATGATATAACTGTGCAATTTAATAGAATTTCGTTTTAATTCTGTGTATTTCCGAATATCCAATGTCAAAAATTGTTGATAGCGCATCTTGTATAGATTTAATATGGCTGGGGCTTATTAGCAATATAAATAAATAGGTAATTATCTTTTAGTACTCAGTTTAAAATTGTATTATTAATTACTAAATTGTGAAGTTATACAATATGTATTGTTAATTTAGGTATTTCTTCTACCCTCGAGCACATCTTCAGAATATATGTATGCTGTTGTTCCTATATACATCGCCATTTCGTCAAATTCGTTATTAATCGCAAATAGATCATGAGCTTAGTATACTCCGTGCGATTAATACATTTGCATATTCAAATACCAATTAAAGCAAAGTGAGCATTTCCGATCTAACGGTTGTTATACGTTAGACGATATACATAATTCTGTAATACACGTTAGGTGATTGATCTCACTATTCCAAACTTTAATTAAGTCACTAGTATTGTGTATCTATAGAGTACAGATAACATCTTTACAAATATCGTTCAATGGGCATCCACATTGCCTAGCATTGCGTTAAGCATGCATGGGTCTAGGTATACATATCTAAGCAACTAGATAGGCCGATTGATTAAAGGTATGCCTGAAAAAAAAATATTAGAAAGACATTCAAACATTTTTCTCATTCATCCCTCATTGATGAAGTCTTATCTCTTTAAACTGATTACATACTTAAGACATTCTATAAATTAAAAATCAATTTTAGCTGGAAAATAATTTAAGACACGGGTAGGGGTCTTAACCAATTTAGCTATCGTGTACTACACGTAATTGTGGATTTTTTTCAACTTATTGATACATGCAAGTTTCGCGCAATGTAAATTCAACTTTAACTTTAAATGTCATATACTTTGCAGCTTGAGAAAATCATTGAAGATAAAATTACAGAGTTTTGCGCTTAAAAACTTTAATATTTTTCACATGTAATGCAAGTGTTAAATTTGAAATTACATTGCGAGAGGCGTATGTATCACTAGGTTGAAAGAATGCGACGATGACGTGTAGAACTAGGTAGCTCAATTGGATTTAGCAATAATTCGGAACGCTATGGATACCAGCGCATTTCGTGTCCGTTTCGTAAAATTTCCATCTTAAATCCATTTTTTATTTTTTAAATGTGCAATAACATGTGAAAAATATTTAAGTTTAAAAAAAATCTCGTCTAATTATTTTCTCATTTACCTTATAATGAAAGCGGCTGCAACATTTCTGACTTTTGGACATTTGAGGAGTGCGACCACCGTTAACAGGTTGCCGAACAGTCCTATGAGCATTATGAAGCCAGTCACGATAGCTGCGAATGTTAGTAGACCAGGGGAATACCTGTAACATAAATAAATTTATACTAATATAAAGCTGAAGAGTTTGTTTGTTTGGACGCGCTAATCTCAGGAACTACTGGTTTGAATTGAGAAAAAAATTGTGTTGGATAGACAATTTATCGAGAAAGGCTTTATGCTATAAAACATCAGGGCGCGACGAATAGCAGCGAAGAAGCACTGAGAGATGTGGAACAAACGGTAAATTGTTCATCATCATCAAAATACCCAAAAAATATGTAAGAAAGAATAATAATAATAAAAAATGCGACAGTAAATGTCTATCTTTTAAGATTAACTAGCAAGAACGACGGGACGCGAACGACGCGGCCTGTCTTTACATGTTATTAGTCTTGTATTATTTAATAAAATAGTGAACATGTACAAATAAATATAAAACTATGGATAACATTTTCCCTAATAATAAAGTTTCAATAGCTTTTTTCAAATGAACCTATCCCACAATTTACCAGAGGCTGGATAAACGCATGCTCGGTATGAAAGCGTTTGCGAACAAAAGTCTCCCACACAAAGTTCAACAGGATTTCCTTTCACAGAATAAGGCTTCAAAAGTGAGACTATAAAAGCTTTTTATACGCGTGTATTTGAATACGGCTATTGGGTTCGCAATGCTTTGTTCGACGTAACGAAAGAATGCACCTACAGATGCTCGATGTAGGACATAAAAGCGAATTATATAGACCGTAATCAAATAGTCTATACTAGTTTTTGTTTTTTGTGTATACTAATATTATAAAGCTAAACAGTTTGTTTTATGCGGTAATCTGATAATGGTCCGAATTGAAAATTTCTTTTTTTGTGTTGGTTTTATTGTTATCGAGGAAGGCTTTAGGACATCAGACGACGCTCCTCCTATAAAAGGGGGATAATTATTCATATAAATAGGTTTAACTATTGTATATTGCGTTTTAAACGGTTAAGTGTTTTGTTTAATTAATTTATTTTCGAAGGCATTCGTTATAATTTTATCTTGATGCATGATGGTCCAACAGAGATGTATTTAAAAGCACTAAAAATTGTTGATAGTAAAGAACTCTTATTGATGGTAGATCGATGACGATATTGATTCTGAATACAGAACCCGCCGTTAAAGGCACCATAATGGTTTGTTAATTAATGTAATTGTAAAGTTGTAAATTCGTTATTGTCTTTTCTAGTTCCTTTATTCTAAACTCTCCGGTCTTTCGAATCCCGAGGACTTTAAATATTCGGTTTGTATAGGGACAAAAGGGTAATCACTGAACTGCAGATACGAATCGATCAGTGAAACGTATATAGGAATGTAAACCTCTGTCCCACGAGGTTAGGACTTGCTATATGTGTGGCATCGCTATGTTATATACAAGACTAGCTGCGTCAGCGACTTCGTCCCCATAGGATAAATATTTTAGGCGTCAAATTTGGTTTTTCAAACCTCCTCTTCATTTTTATTATTGGTTTTGCCCGCGAAGTAGACGTCCCGTCGTTTTGTCAAAGGTAAACTCAAAAGACAGACATATAATGTCGCAGACATTATATTAGATCATTTAAAGAGAGATCATTCTTCCATACTTTCTTATATTTTGAACGATTTTCGTAGCGTACGCAACGGAAACCCACAAAGAAGAATAATTTTCCCCGTTTTCTTAACATTTCCCGCTGATTCTTCGCTCTTATTAGTCGCATTGCGATGTTTTATAGCCTCCTCGATAAATGCTCTAAGTAACACAAAAATAATTCTAACAACTACTTCATGAGATTAGCGCGTTCAAACAAACAAACTCTTCAGCTTTATATAGTATGGATTTTCGAACTAAAGTTATGTTACACCGGGCATTCGTCAAATAGATTAAAATAAGGATCGCGTACGGAATCAATTCATCTGAACCGCGAAGGCATCCAAGGACTTTTGTTAGAAATTGAAGCGGCCTCACAATTTGGATTCACGTATTCCAAGTTCTTTGTAGCCTGTCCTAGCGATTGGTTTAATCTTTACAGTTTCGTGTAAATCACTCCTCAAAGAAGCTTGAGAGGTTTTCGAAATTCTTTGTACCTTTCACTTTGATATTTTTCATTGAACTTTGATCTTTTATAGGAAAATACGTTAGTTAAATAAGTAATATTATTATCTTCCTTAAATTTGTATTCTCGTAGTTACTGAATCAATTAGGTCGTTTTCAAATAAAATTGTTAAAACAATAAAAGGTATTTTGTTAATTTACGATTAATAACGCGTTTTATTCTACTAATTGTAAAGTAAAATCCGATAAGCAGCTTAAAAATACAAATTTTATTTCTGTACGTTTAAGTGAAAAATATTTCGAGTCTTAACAATTATTATTTTGGAAATAAAAGTAAAATAATGTGTTTGCACTTTTAAACAAAACACTTTAACGGTGTAAAACGCGATATATTAGTTAAACTTATTTGAAAATGATTTTTAACTTCGGCCCGACGTTTCGAATGCTTTGCAGCAGCCGTGGTCACGAGGAGACTGTGTGTTCATTAGATCATTCATCATCATCATATATTTAGATTATATCAACTAAGTTTTATCGTTTTAACTGACAGTACGTGTGTCGTGAAAGGTTTAGGATTCGAATCGACATTACAGAGAAACATACCTAATAATAAGTTTCTACCGGAAACCTTGCAAGTCTGAAATACTTGCCTGTAAATAAAACCGATCGATAAGACAGACACAGAAATTTATCTTCCGCCCCAAGTGTACCGCCGCTTTGGCTAAATAGTTAAACGTGTTGGCTAGCATTGTTAAGCGTGAGTCATCCTGGGTTCGAATCTCGGGGAAACAATATATTCTTTCGGTAGGGCAGGGCACAAGTCTTAATGACTACTTGCCTGTAAATAAAATCGATCATTGAAACGGACACAGATATGTGTTTGTCCCCTGCCCCATGAGGGAAAACGGATTTTCCTTAAGAATAAGATTTTCGTAGTAGTTTAAATTTTCCTACTTTTGTTAATTATTATAGCTTTTAATTTTTTTTAATACACACCCTACAAAATGAATGAGAAATTTTTTACGTAAGTACTAACTTATAAATAAAAGGCGCCCTTATCGCTATGTAGCGGTCTCTTCCAGGCAACCTGAATTATAGAAAAGAAATAGAAAAGGACTTATTTAGTGGGTAGGTGTAATTAATAATAAAGGAATGCAAAAAGGCTACATAGTAGAAGTATACACAACAAGCAGGAGAGAAACTAACTTAAGAATAATTACATAGTTACATATGTATATGTATGTGTATATAATAAAATTAAGGCTTTTAAATACTCACTTAGACAGTTCACTAGGTTTAACGTTGGAAGCAATGTCCTCAGTGACATTCCACATGTCTGCCATTGCACACGATCTGAAACAAGGAAATTCATTTTAACTCAACAACGCCCGCGACTAAAACGAAAATGGCTGTAATTTATTCGACGCATTTGTTGTCAAGCGTGTGGAAAACGTGTTACAATTGTTAAAAACCTACGAAATACATGTTTTACTGCGAAAAACAGGCAAATATTTTCATGTGATGAATTTCAGTCTGCTATGAAAAAGGTCTTGGAACTTTTAAATAAAACACTGACAACGGTTTGAAACGCGAAATATATTATTTACCTTATTTTCAATTATATTATCTACGAAATGACGTTTCGGATGTTTAGCGGTAGTCTTAGTGACGACAAACAATAGTTGCGTTCTTATAACTGCTTAATAACTGCACCAAAGAATTTCGACATTGGAAATATGTACATTCAAATTTTTTATGTCTTTGAAGCTACATTTTATTCTCTAAAGATGTGTGATTGGTTTTTAATAGATAAATAAATAAATAAAATAATAAATATTATGTCTTGTATTTAAGTTACTGGAAAGCCTTAGCTTAAGCTTAACATAAGCACTTAAGTAGAAGCAAGTCGATCCAACGTTATGCAAGGGCTAAAGCGGAGCATGTCCTGGTATTTATTGGAAATTTTATAAGCTATGCCAATATATATACATTCCCAAGGTTTATTGGGTACATAGGAACTCCCGGATAAATTCAATCGACCGTGAACACCAGTCATTTTGTGAGTGACCATACAATTTGTAACCTTGATCAATAGGACTCATTGCTCGTGAGATTACCAGAGCAAAACGTATTTATAATCTGTGGGGCACTCGATTTTATTTTTCGTTGTAATTATTTGGGTACAGTGGCGTTGGTGTAAAACGTTCAAATTATTGGAAACCACACAACAGAGCAATCTACGATAAGTAACTGTAAACCTTTTTTCAGGAAGAACAAAGTAGGTGGTAAAATATAGGTAAGTAAAATTTAAATAAAACACAAATTATATTTGCTTCGCTTATTTACGAATTGCAACTACGGCCCGACGCGACGTTTAAAATGTTTAGCAGCGGCCGTGGTCACGGGGAGCGATCAATACAGGCTTTTATTTAAATGCGTAAACTACGGACAGTATTAAGCTAAAATGAGTTAAGTAAAGTATAGCGTTAAGCTTTACGTATACATTTAAATAAAACACTTTAACGGTTTAAAATACGATATATATTAGTTAAACTTATTTGAAAATTATTTTTAACGACCCGGCCCGACCTTTCGGATGCTTTGCAGCAGCCGTGGCCACAGGGAGAATAAAGACAAAATTTGCTATCGCCATCTCTTCCGTCGAACTTGGTATTTGGAAAATCTGGCCAGTTTATAAAAGTTAAAAATAACTTTCAAATAAGTTGAACATATCGTGTTTTAAACCGTTTACGTGTTTTATTTAATTGTGTACTACTTGCGTAAACTACAGACAGAATTTACACAATCAATTGTATATTATAAAATCAATATCGACTTAGTAAGACGACAATATAAATCTTTATAAAGCAAGTTATTATCGAAATGGACGAGAGAGTTGAAAAGTATTAAAAATATTAAACACATTTTCCGGACCACATACACTTTCATAGAAACAGTTCCATTTGTACATCAATGATTTGTTACTGTAGGAAATACATTTTTATAGCATGTCGATTTCCGTAATCCACGTTTATGGATTACGAACAAAAACTTGACTATCGCTTACTGAATCCAAAAATACCGGTGGGTCACAAACATAAAAGTTGGCTAATAATCGTAATGAGTAAACTTATTATGGGAATAACAGAAAGTTACGATCGAAAACCCAGGATAAAGGAATCACATCGATATCAATAATATTGCGGTATTTGGGATATCAATATTAATTATTATAACATGAGCTTTTGAAAATAACGACATATAGTGTCGCGGGCATACATATCTTTTCGTTTCTTGGACTTTTTCATTGCGCACCCAACGGAGGTCTTTTAAGATGAAGGGAAAAAACAAAACACATGATTCGCTTTTTAAATGCCGATACATCATTTTGTTTAATGTGTATTACTTGCATGAACTACAGAATCATATATTTTGGGTCTTTAAATCAAATTGTTTATTCACGTCCACGTCTTATAACAAAACAACTGACACCCCAATTGCTTAACTGGTTTTGTAGAGACAACAGAGTGATCTATATTTCTATACACTTCGCGTCGGCACAATTTGCATATTATTATCTCCTGCTGAAACGTAGTTTGGGATTGCATTACCAGCGTAGATAGGTCAGTGTCAATTCTGTGACCCCCGTAGAGTATTGGGCGTTTGACTAATACGTTTTATTTATACACATGTAAAGTTGCTCCAATTGACCAATTGAGCTACAGAGTCTACAGAGTTACAGTTTAAGAAAATCATTATAGATTAAATTACAAAGTTTTCAAAAATTAGAAGTATGTAGTTGATAAGACTTTTGGCAGACCGAAACAAACTATCGTTTCTCCGAGATTCCCAGGCACAGTGATAGGCAATATTTGTAAATACAGGTGTTCGTATATAAGTAATCATTTTGGGTCAAGAGTATTATAATTTGTATGCATTAAAGCAGAAGCGAGCAAATCGCTCAGTTGCATACAAACTAGAGCTTATGACCAACATTATAACAATAGTTTTATACTATAACTGTATAAGCTAAAGGCCCGACATTGAATAGGAACCAGAACTTACCTCTACGTATTTATTACCTAAAATAGTGTACACTTTAAGTATATCAATTTCTTTAAGTAGACATTTTAACCTGTTTAAAATTAAATACTGTCTATAGTTTACGCGAGTAGTATACATTGATATAAAACTCTTTAACGGTTTAAAACGCAATATATTAGTTAAACTTATTTGTCTCCCCGTGACCACGGCTGCTGCAAAGCATCCGAAACGTCGGGCCGAAATTAAAAATCATTTTCAAATAAGTTTAACTAATATAACGCGTTTAAAATTGATACTTTAGGACGCCTCAAAAATAGGGTAATAATTACCAGGTGTTGTATTTTCGGTATTTGTTTAAGCAAAACCCTAATTTAAATAGATTATGTTCAAACCTCTAAAGGTTTTATTCAGTGTTTATCGCAACATTGAAATAGATTTTGCCGGCTTAAATAAATATCAGGTTTAATTATTATAAATGCATTTGGAAATACTGCGGTACTGTGGTTATCTAATCTAATTTTAGTTAATTATTTAGTTTAGCTAAAAACTTGAGATTTGTAGTTTCTGTTATTAGGCGGTTTTAAAACATTTAACACACCTTAGTGCAAATTAGAGCTTTAATTATTAATATTTAATTGGTAGATAGCACGTAACTCAGTTGTTGGTTCAAGCCAAACCCATGTCATTAGGTTTTTGTAACCCAAAATAAGATTAAACATTATTTAGAAGCATCCAAAGACTTGTTTATAGCTTAGCTAAAGTAAATAAATCCCCAGTCAATTGTGTACACAGCGTTACTAGCGTAACAGACAAAATCCCACTGCGTCACGGAAAATCCATATAAATGGCCACCCGGATTCAAGAGTAGGGTAGATGTTTGATATTAATGCCCTAACAGACAAAAGGATATAATTTAATAATTATGAAAATAAGTTGAAAAAAAGGAATAATTTCTAACTATTTAAAATAAACAATATTAGTTAATTTATTGTGACACAACCTTAATAAATACGGAAAGCGGTTCATTAAATTTGCACCAGTCGTTACGTCCAATACAACCAAGTTTCTGAGATTTATGAAAAACAATAATACTATCATACACAGTACAAACTACTGCGTATTTCGAGTATAGGCTTTAATAATTGTAGTTTTAGACCATGAATTTGAATTAAAACATCAATGTTGGAAAGTTCGTTGTTGTGGATTAGATACCTGAAGATGTAGTCTTGCTCTGGTCTCAGGTGAGACAAAGATAGTTTTTTATTAGCCCACTGTGGCTATTATACTACACACCATCATAATCATTTACATTTATAGAAACAGTCTATGTTTCAAAATTATCGATTTTTGCTAAAAAATACTGTCTACTTTGAAATATCAAAAGTTATATTTATTGTTTGTCACGATTGAAAACTGAATAGGGCGACAAAGACAAACATTGACTACTCTACCATTACAGTAATAGGTTTAACAATTGCCGACCTAGGTAGTGCACAGAACTCTGATCAACTATTTCTTCAAACAAGATACACCTCTGAAAACATTAATATTGTTTACATGTTATTAATGGCACATGAAAGCACTATATAATTTAAAAATCGAAAGTAAATTGAAAAATTTTTCGACTCGTGCAGGACTTGAGAGTAACAGCACGGAACGCTGACGATGCCGGTTCAAGTCCTGCCCGAGTCGAAAATTTTTTCAATTTATTTTCGATTTTTAAATTAAAATACACCTCTGTCAAAAGCCTATGCACAACGAGAACAGAATTTTCAGTTGTACACTTCATATTATGTACAACCATGTTCGGACATTAGTCTGACGGGAATAATCTCGACGAAAAGAAAATGTATCGCGATAACGCAATTTGTATTTATATAATGTCGTTAAGATTAACTTGGCTATCCTAAAAATCCGGATCTATTAAAAAAGTCTAGACTCATTTATTTCGCATTTAATATCTCGACTATTACAGACGAATAGAGATTAAGTGTTAAAAATAACACACTTTTAAATACATTGTGATATTATTACATTTATGAATACACGAGCGTTTTAGACGGTTAAAACTGTTTTATTAAACGTACTACTAGCAGTCATAACAGTATACAAGTGTGTTATAATTTAAGTTTAATTGTTATTAGAATTTGTAGGAAAAATATTGTCATGAAATATATATTTTCTTATCTATATAGTACTTCAGTAAATATTGAAAATTAATGGGTGCAATATTTGCAATAAGATAAGCACATTGTTTGTTTAGTAAATAGAACGCAACTTCAAGTTATAGCAGAGCTAC